TTAGAAAGTAAAAGTCAAGGAGGGGAGAAGTGCTTTCAGACTTGCAAGATTCTGTTACTATAACCTTACAAGAAAGGTACTGTTTGTTATCATGGTTGGTGCATGTTGTCTGGACTATCTTGAAGGAATGACACCATGTGATTGAAGCCCCACCCTTTTTAATGTGTCTTGTAGCACAAACAAATGGGGGGGGGCATCAATCATCCAGTTGCAGCTGCTACCTTGATTTTTTTCACCTCCCCAGCAAATGAGAGAAGCAAGGATTTGCCAGAGAGGTGCTGCAAGTTACCTTCTGGTGCCAGACGAGCTATGAATGCACTTGTGACATCAAGCTGCCTTAGTGATTTTTTCACATCATCTATAATGAAAGAAATAAAGCAATATATTCTGTTAATTGAAGGAATACAGTGTGCAGTCAGGACTGATAATGCAGACAGAATACTATTGTTTAATCCTGTAGAGGAGATGTGATATTAAAGGATTGGTCTGGAAGAACAACAGAAATAGAGTATGCTTCACTTACAGTTGACAGGCAAAATATATTACAGGAAATTAGGGAAACTAAAAAGCAAGCAATTTCCAAAAGAGAACTGTATATCTTTTGTTTGCCAAGCACCAGATATGCAATCATATTCCATCAAAGAATGAAGGACAATTACTAATTTTGGCAGCATTACTGCAAAAGCTTTCATATTGATGTGTGTTTAAATAGCAGTTTTTGAATAGCTTATGGATTTATTTAAAAATAATTAATGTGATTTTTCTTCAGTAGATACCGGCCCATTTATGAAAGCAATATTAAAATACAGTGCTTTAGTTTCACAAGTTATGAAAGACTTGTTAAGAATTCAGTGCACAATATTGGAAATTCTTCATCAAATCCATATTTTTAAGCCAATATGATATGACACTCTTCCTTATGTTCCCACTGTGTGCAAACATAACTTCCTGCTGTTCTCCTGGCTCTGCTACATATTCATACATGGGCATAAATGCAGTATCCTAATGTAAAATCCAGTGCTAGTAAATCTCAACTTGGGGTCTCACCCTGCCAGACTGAAGATCTGCTGAGCTCCCAATAGACAAACATCTTTGTCTGCTTTCAACTTAGTGCCACTTATATCCTGGAAGCTTGATTATTTTGCCAGACTGTCAAAAGTTGCTGCTAAATTATAATTTTTACAACATTTTACAAGGGGAATAAGTAATTGTATTACTTTTAATTTTAGTTAAATTAAAGCTTATGCCAAATCAACTTCCGTTTTCACCCTGCTCTCACCTACTTCCTCAACTTGGCTCTGCCCACTTGTTGGAGTGAAGGTCCTGGCAGGGCTCTCAAAGGCCAGTGTGGCTTTTGGTCTGAAAAAGTCGCACACCCCGACTTACTTCATAGTAAATTCCTCAAGCCTTGCACATTTTTGTTCTCTTTACAGACCTTCTTTACCCAGTTTTCTCTTTTCAGAGCCAGTTATTCCATTACTACGATGATAGAGCAGTTCAAAGAACTATTCAGTTAACTATTTCTATTGTTGCTTAGCAAGAACGTTAGACATATGACAATTTCATAGTTTACATCAGTTTAATATGCTGTTTAACAGTTTAACTTTGCTTAATACCACGCATGTTTCTAAGGGGAACTCTTACTATGAGATGCCATGATCCCCACTACCATGGTAGCATTTCTGCGAACAGTGGGATCTTCATGTGTAACTAATTTAAATAAAGGTTCCAGGGCTCCAAATTCAAGAAGTGTCAGCTTGTTTTCTTCACCTAAAAAGCAATTCATTACATTTAATTTCAAATGTCCATAATAATAGTCATAATAATACAGTAAGCTCTCAATTTAATAGACCAATGGGGGGAAGAGGAGTCCATAAAAGTAGAAATTCCATTAACCTTCAAAGGGTTTTACACATGTTTTTTAGATATTTCATGCATGTAATGTAGGTGTAAAGTGGCATATGGGATTTTATACATGCATAGAAGCATTTAGTGTATGGACAGATTTTGTGTATTGCAACTCAGTTTGTCCACTAAACTGAGTCTATTAAAATGAAGATTTACTGTAACACTAGTAGTAACTGTAGAAGAAAAAAATAGTAACAATATGGAAGGATGAACTACTTTGAAACAGAAAAATGTTACATGTGTCTGTCAAGGTCACAGTTTTTGCTCTGCAGTGGTCTGACAGCTGCCTAGCTTAGGCATGTAGAATAATATATAATAATAATAATCTGATTTGACTTTCCTTGCTGCTTCTTATCTGGAAGAGGTTGCTTCTAAGTCAGAACGTCTCATGAGTTACAGCTTTATATTACTCTACATAACTCTATATAATATATTGCATACTGTTGGCACTTAAACTGAAATAGGAATGATTCATATAAGTATTTAATACTCATTAAAGAATGGGTGGAACATGATAAAAGAAGAACAAACCTTTTGATGCAAATTTATACAGAGCTTCACATGCTTTATATAGAACTTCTTCTTCAGGGGAACTAAGCATCAGTACCACCGTTGCAGCTTTCTTGCTTTCAACTGACAAAGGATCAAACTAGAAAACCAACAGTAAGAATATGAATGAATATAAATCATATATATCCTTAAAGTTCAGTGTCACAGCTATTTACTGATAAATATAATATAAGTCAATCACTGGACATAATACATCTTTTGAAATTACAGTATTGTAAAAAAAATTACATAAAGGATTCAATAGTTTGCAACTTTAATGGCAATTTAGTAGGCTTATAAGAAGAAGCCATCTACCTTTCCCTTTCCCTTATTCTCCATGAAATGGGATCTTGGAGGGAGGACCAATCATTCTTAACAGAAGTGTGAAATGCATGCTTGCAGAGGGCTATTGAAATTTGGTTGAAGACCAACATGGTCCTTGGCCACAGATAGCCTACCTCTAAAACACAGATGAGTAGGAGATGAACAATGATTATATAGATAAATGGATGGATGTAATTCAAACTTGCTCTCCACTAATTCAGCATCTGGCTCTAGGAATCTCTTCACAAACTGCCTTCTTTCCCCTACTCACAGGAAATCCACTGACTTCTGATTCACAGTCACATACAAAAGAATTTTGGAAACTGGTATGATATACATAGATCAGTAATCCTGAAAAAGAGATGGCAACGAAATGGCCTCTATGAGACATTATTGGCTCTAGATAGATTTTGGCATCAGTGAGTTTTTAAATGAAGCAACATTTGTTGCTGATCTCTGGTTATAGGCAACAAACTAGCAAGAAAGCACTTACAGATTTGATCAAACATCAAAAATTCAATTATAAAATATAATCTGGATAGACAATTTATACTGAAATACATTATAATGTATTTTACTCAAGTAATTCTCTGCATCCTACATAAAAGGGTCAGGAAAGCTATGGATAACAGCATTGTAAATGATTCAATGAACAGCTCTGCTCAGTGTACAGGTATAGTCAAAAACAGGCTACTAGGGATGCAAAAAGTCTGAAGAACAAAGAAAGAGAAATAGTACAGGAAAAACACAATTGTATTAGAAAACCCTGCAGCGCACTTTCACGTGGAATCCATGGACCACACTGATCAGATCAACTCAAAAAGAACATTACTATCAATTGGGAAAAAGGATACCAAGCATGACAACTGAGATGACAGAAATTCTCAGAAGTTTTTATTTGAAAACTCCTATTTGTACAGGTAATAATAGCCTCAAAGGCAGCATAAGAAATAATGGAATCAGATGGATAGGCTGAACAGGCTATACAATTTTCTTTTTTTTAATGATATAAAGTTCAGATATGCTACATAAGCGAATCATAGTGTCATAGAGTTGGAAGGAGCTATTTAGGCCATCAAGTCCAACCCCCTGTTCAATGCAGAAATCCAAATTAAGCAACCCCAACAAATGGCTGTGGAGCCACCACTTAAATATATCTAGGAAAGGAAAGCTCACAATCTCTTTTGGCAGTTGGCTCCTTTGTTGAACCACTCTTACTATTAGGAAGTACTGCCTTTGTGCATCTATGACCATTATTTTGTACCCTGTACAGTGGGACAATAGAAAATAAGATTTGACCTACTTTGTGTTACATGCCTTCAGTTTCTTATCTCAGGGATAAACCTCCCCAGTTTTCTTGCTGTGTCCTTGTTAGCTTCAGTCCCCCAGTCACTATCACTAGACCTGTTCCAATTCGTATCCAGTGTGCCCAGAACTGGATACAGAACTCAAGGTATAGGTCTGACTGATGCAGAATATAGTAGAACTATTATATCCCATGATTCAGAAACTAGATTTATTTTGATTTAGCCTGTAATTGCATTTATCTTGGCCCCAACTAATGTAGACCTTGTGATTGTCTCAGAGCAGATGGGTTGTGATCTGGATCTGGAGGGTGTTTCCACCACCTCTTTGCCATAGTCAGATCACTTCTGATTAGATATATATAGAGTTGAAGACAAAAGAAATATAGAGGTCAACAATAAACAAATATGTTAGAGATACAGAAATCTATGAAGATATAGTGAAACTGGACATTAATGAATATAGAAGAGCTTATAGAAAATAATTAAAATATATTATAGTTTTAGTAGTAAAATATTAGTTTCTGAAAGAGTTGAAGGCATTTATAATGTACAATTTCTTTTTCTTTGTAAGCTTTCTTTGTTTTATAAGTCTTGCCCAGCTATTGAAGGGAGATACAAAAAAAAAAAATCAACTGTTTAAATTTCCAATGCTTTGTGTCAATCTGATTATTTGTGGTTCAGAAAAGAACCCGCAATAGCCAACATTTTCTCGGCCTAGACTATAAAGCTGAAAGACTTCTACCAACCCACACTGAACTACAATGGTAGATTATGGTTCATAATAGCATTGGTCATTTTTGCCAATCACCTTTGTCAGGACCCAGTTGGAAGTAGTTGCAGGGTCTGGGGATCAGAGACACTGTTTTATACTGGTTCAACTCCTTCCTCAGCAGCTAGTTCCACTCTCTGATAACTGGGAATGAGGAATTGGCACAGTGGTGCTCCTCTGTGGGGTGCCACAAATATTAGTATTCTCCCCCCTTTATTTAACATCTACATGAAGCTACTGGGGGAGGTCATACAGAAATTCAGGCTCTAGTATCAATATGCTGATAATACCCAATTGTACATCATGACCCTGGGCCTCACTGGAGATGATATCAAAATCTTGTCTTGGTGTCTGAAGGCTGTGAAGTTCTGGAGGAGACCGAAGCCTGGAAGTGTTGCTTTTCCATGATGGGGCCAGCCCTCTGGAAAGGTCTCCAGCTGGAGGTCTGCCTGTCTTCAACATTATCAGCCTTTCAATATATTAGGTGTGTCTGCATAACACACTAAACCAGGGGTTGGGAACCTTTTTGTCTGAGAGAGCCATGAACGCCACATATTTTAAAATGTAATTCCGTGAGAGCCATACAATATGTTTAAAACT